TTCCCTATAGGGCGCGTGTGCTCGCCAGACAGACAGAGACATAGAGACAGAAAGCGAGAAATCACCCCACAGTGGGGATGGTCACGCCGCAATCCCTTCTCCTCCATTCTCCTCTCGAGATCTTGGGCACGCACGCACATGTGCCTGGCGTGAGTTTTAAGCCACCGGGTCCGGGACGCGAACCGCGGTCGACTACATGGGAGTCCAGCAACATAGCCATTACACTAACTGCTGGTTCCCTTTTCTCACTTTCTTACTCTCTTGCTTTGTTCCTCTCTGGTCAGATTTAAAAATAAATAAATAAATAGTTAAAGTTAAATAAAATAATTCTTTTTTTTTTTTTTTGAGAGGTTTGTTTGTTTTTATGCTATAGAGCACATGTGCTCATCAGAAAGACAGAGAGAGACAGAGAGACAGAAAGCGAGAAATCATCCCGCAGGGGGTTGGCCACGCTGCAATCCCTTCTCTGTTCTCCTCTCGGGATCTTGGGCATGCACACACACATGCCCAGCATGAGTTTAAGCCACTGGCTTCGGGACTCGCGTGGTCAACTATATGGGAGTCCAGCAACATAGCCATTATGCCAACTGCTGGTCCCAAATAAAATAATTCTTAAAAAAAAAAAAAAAAAAGAAAGAGAAACACAACTAAAAATAGACTGAGATATCATTGTTCACTTTGTACATCCTCAGACCACAAATAATTCAGAAGGAGAATAAACTGGATAAACCCTACTGGACAAACTCTAAGAAAGGCAGTTAGATGGCAGATATAGAAATTGCACATACCAGGGCCAGTAGGTAACATAGTGGTTAAGGGTGCTGGACTCCCACATGGCCAACTGAGGTTCGAGTCCTGGACCTGGCGGCTTGCTTTCTCACTTTCCCTCTCTCTCTCTCTGTCTCTGGTAAAATTTAAATAAATAAATACAGTTAAGTAAAAAGTTCTTTTAAAAGAAATAATTGCACATACCCTCTGATCACTTTTGGGAATTTACCCTATAGATATCCTTGCATATATGTGTAATAACTTAAGTATTAGGTTATTTATAGTGATGTTAACCATTACAGTAAAGGAGTGGAAACAACTCCAAATCCATTTATATATCTCATTATTATATCATATTATAGTATATTGTATTATATTATTATATTATAGTGATGGAACTCTATGTGCTGAAATGAAAGTGTCAGTGTATACTATGTGAAAAAATGTAAAGTAAGGGACCAGCAATTAGCGTAATGGCTGTCGCTGGACTCCCATGTAGTCGACCGCGGTTCAAATCCTGGACCCGGTGGCTTAAACTCATGCCGGGTGCGTGTGCGTGCATGCCCAAGATCCTGAGAGGAGAATGGAGGAGAAGGGATTGTGGCGTGGCCATCCCCCCTGGGGGGGGGTGATTTCTCGCTTTCTGTCTCTCTGTCTCAAGTAAAGAAGAAAATATGAATTTAACATTCTTCTGGATAAAAAAGATCAAAGAAAGAAATTTATTTGAAATTTGACTGTGTTTGCATAAAGAAATAGTGAAGGAGGGACCAGCAGTTAGTGTAATGGCTATGTCGCTGGACTCCCATGAAGTCGACCACGGTTCAAGTCCCGGACCTGGTAGCTTAAAACTCACGCTACGCACGTGTGGGTGTGCGCCCAAGATCCCAAGAGGAGAATGGGAGAGGGGATTGTGGCATGGTCATCCCCTCTGGGGGGTGATTTCTAGCTTTTTGTCTCTGTTTGTCTGGCGAGTGCACGCACCCTATAGCAAAAACCTCTAAAAAAAAAAAAAATGAATGACAGCCATAACACTATTAAATTATCACAGAAATGCAAAGAAAAGACACATGGAAACTTGACAGATGAGGGACACACAAGAGAGGAAATAATTCCTACTGTATACCTTTTCATGAGTTTATATTTTAGAACTGTGTGAATACCAATGAGGAGGTGAAAATATGGTAAGCTGAGCTGTAAGGGTGGCAATTTCATTGGGATCTTGTGTTTCCAACTAAACAACAACTTGACCATAAACCCATCCCAAAAGGCTTTAAAATCAGACCTTTTCCATTATTGGAAAAATTTACAAACTGGTTAGAGAGGATGGTTTTCTCCCAGCTTGCAGAAAACTAAATAGTATATCATCTGAGTTCAAAGGAAAGTTGTTCTCATGGCCAAACATTGCTGTTAGGAACATGGTGGAACTCATTGAGCAGCAAGCTTCCTAAGGGAGACTGGATTGGTGACTGTAGTGTGGCCACACCCCTGGAGGGTGATTTCTCACTTTCTGTTTTTCTATCTCTCTGGGGGTGGTGGTGGTGCATACACCCTATAGCAAAAATCTCTCTAAAGACGGGGCCGACAGGTGGCGTGGTGGTTAAGGGCGCTGGACTCCCACATGGCTGACTGCTATTTGAGTCCCAGACCTGGAGGCTTGCTTTCTCACTTTCTTCCTCTCTCCCTCTCTCCCTCCCTCCCTCTCTGGTCAAATTAAAATAAATAAATAAATAAAGTTAAATAAGATAATTAAAAAAAAAAACACATGTGGTTGACATTATATTTCTATTGGAATGTGGTGCAAACAGAAGACAACTGTTCAGGGACCAGCAGATGGCATAATGATTATGTCGCTGGACTACCATGTAGTTGACTGCAGTTTGAACCCTGGACCCAGCTGCTTAAACTCACGCCGGGCATGTGTTGTGTGCATGTCCAAAATACTAAGAGGAAAATGGAGAAGGGATTGTGGTGTGGGGGGTGATTTCTCTCTTTCTGTTTGTCTCTCCAGCGAGCACACATGCTCTATAGCAAAAATCTCTCTCTCTAAAAAAAAGAAGACAATGTTCAGTTGTTTCAGGAATGAAGGCAAAACTAAGAGAATATAAGGGACAATTCTGAGAACAGAGTAAGGGATGGAGAACATCAGGCAGAGAATTAAAGGAAAAAATAGTTTAAAAAGATTAGAAAAGCAAGTCATCTTGACAAGATCCAGCATATACATAATTGGGTGCCCCACTAATGAAATGAAATAGTACGAATATATAAAAATATAATTCAGGAAAAACTTTCATAGTTTCATCCTGCAGACTGAATAGGCACACCATATTCTAGAACAAAACCACAAAGATAGTCACTAGAAAACACATCTTAGTAAGGTTGCTGAAATAAAAAAATGATGAACAATTCATGGGCTTGTTCTAT